ATTTTGGAAAGAGACATTTCTCTGTAATAAACTCTCTTTTCCAAAGATGAGTGATTCCTCAATCAGATACAGGGCTTGCAATATCGCTAGCCCGACGTCCCGGAGCTAGCGATTTTTTCAGTCGGGCTATTGTAGGAAGGAAAAATATATGTCAATGCTTTTGCATTCTTTCAGAAATGTAGCTGGGTAATTATGTCATTGGCATCGGTGAGCCACTGTCAATATGTGACATATTGAAGTCGCGTTTGAATTTGCGCTTGTTTTTTTGCTTTCACTTTGCAATTGCGAACTGTGTATAGAGAGCGACAGCACTGATCTGTGAGTGATGATAATTTGTGCACCAATTCCTCTGACATCGTCTTATTAATCGTTAGCTTACTATGCAAACATGACAAGTGAACTCTCCCGCAGCAAGCTTAAACATGTGAGAGGTTGATCGCGCAGAGAATCGCTGAGCTTATGTGAGTGCGTGTGTAAAAGCAGCAGGATTTGACTACGATGACCTGGATGACTGAGAACCTTCACAGACAGATATATATTTTAGTTCTGCTGAGCCAAATAAGACAGGTCAGGGTGAAGAAGTGACAGCCAAAGAAAAGCTTACCACAAAACGGAGAAGTTATGACAAATCAGACTATAAGGCAAAAAGAAAGTGCAGCTTTATGGTTTCATGGACAAAAGAATTTCTGTGGCTGCAATATGACGAGCTAAATAACCAGGGCTGCACATAAGTGGTCCGCAGGTGCATTCGCTGTCAAAATAAAAAACACGCACAAGGGTTAGGGTTAAATTTAAAAACTGTACTTTTGAGTTAAAATATATATTTATAATTTTAATAAATGACAAATTAAAAAGGCATGAACATTTTTTTTGTATCGAAAAAATATCGAACCGTGACACCAAAGTATCGAACCGAACCGAACCGTGAATTTTGTGTATCGTTGCACCCCTAATATATATATATATATATATATAATATTATATATATATATATATATATATATATATATATATATATATATATAATTCTCTGTTGAACTGGGAGTCAGTGAAGTGACTTCAATTCTGGGGGTATTATGTTCAAATGTCTGTGTACATGTCAGGACTCTGGCAGCATTCTGAGCAAGCTGAAGTCGTCCTGATGACAATTCGGATAATGTGGCAAATAAAAAGTTGCAGTAGTCTAACCTGCTTAAGTTATAGAAGGAAATCCTGGTAATCTTATTAATATGATTATCAAAACTGATATTTATAATTATTGATAATTATTATTATTGCAGGGCATTTACATTATATTATAAAGTGCATGGAAAAAACTGTTACTAGTATTTGGCAGTATATAAATACATTTGAACTGAACTGAACTGAGATCATTGACTAAAATGATGCCAAGGTACCTGACCTGCTCGCTGTGTTTTAGAGAAATAGATGATGATAAATTATAAATATGGACACATTTTCTATCTCTGACTTTCTGAACCTGGACCAGTATTTATGTCTTGTCTTTGTTCAGTTCTAGAAAGACACCCAGCTGTTAATGTCAAGCAGTGGAGCTCATTAGTTTGTACACCATCAGAGAAAAATATGTACAGCTATGTATCATCTGCATAGGAATGGGAGGACATTATTATCTTTATTATAGTACCAAGCAAGAGTGTGTAGAGGTTAAAAAGAGCAGAGCTGAGGAGAAACGACCCTTCGGGAACCCCTGATTAAATTTGTATTTCTGCAGATGCAAAGTACTAATTAAAACATAACAAATTCTGCACTTAAGGCATGATGAGAACTAATCAAGAACCTGACTTAGTTCCCTGACAGACTGTTTTTGTTGGCCTGCCTATGCAATTACAGGCTAAGTCTATCCTTAACCTTGGACAGACATGTGAAATTACAGATTACAGAAACTTGGTGGCAACTTTTCTGATCATCTGTGTTTCTTGTTTTGTCGCTATTTTTTGTGAGTAAATTGCTATGCTAACTGTTAGAAATTGTGGACAACATTTCAAAAATACGATGGTAAAGTGCAAATTGCATACAGGACAGAACCGTTATTGTTAAAACAAATTTGTAAGCGTCTGCACAAATAGTATGCAAATACAAAGCTAGCAAAGAACCCACAATGATGTATGCAGACGCTAGCTCAGCAGCCAGAGCCTGACTTTACTGATCTTATCTGACCCTGTACATGTTTCTATGGTGGAATCAATGTGGCGATTTCACTGAAGGGATTTGTGTGGGACTGAATCCTATGATTTATATTGTTATCTGTAATTATGAGACAATGTGTTTCAGGACATTTTATGTAATAATGAGAAAGAAATGTAATGAGTAGTGTAACAAATTACTTTATATAACAGTAATTAATGTGCAGCATTACTTTTAAGAAGCATAACCAGTAATTTGTAATACATTACTTTTTTTGAGTCATGATCCCTACACTACTGGCACTATAGCAGCCATATGTGACACAGGAAAAGTATGGAAAGATAAACATGTGTGTAGTCTGATACTTGCATTAGGTTGGAGTGTTTCCTAAAATCACTCTTTAAATTAAAACACCCACACTTGCATCCACACCTGTGGTCAATTTAGAATCACCACTTCACCTACTGTAACAAGCCTGTCTTTGGACATTGAAACACCTAAGGAAACCCACAGAAAAGCACAGTTTGACCAGAAGATTTGAACCCAGAACCTTCTTGCTGTGACACTAACTATTGCTTCACAACTGTAATTTTAAATTAAAATAACAAACAAACAAACTGTTTTCAAATTAGGCTTCGCAGGACTGTGAGTAATTACAACGGTTGTTTAAAATGAGTCAAGCCAGATCTTCAGCTGATGTTATTCTCGTCATTTCACTTTGTTAACCTCTGTAAGCCATCCAGTGTTACGGGAAGATGAGTCACCAAAACACTACAAATAATCAAATACTGAGAATTACCAAATGTACTCCTGAAATGGCTAATTTGTGTCAGAAAGTCTTATCAGAGGCTTCTGGATTAGAGCTCATCTAACCTACCTGGAACAGCTAATCATGTCAGAAAGAACTGATGAAATCTCTTTTCTCTTTACTGAACTTGAGCCTTCAGCTTGAGCCCAGCCAGTGTCAGCTGTCAGACGTTTTGTCCCCCAGTGCTATTTGGCCCTCCTCCTTCAGACTCTGCTATGATGTAATGCTGCAGTGGGGGCTTTTAGAGGTGGAAGGCACATGGGCTGTGTAACAATGATGCCTGAACCCTTGACCTCCTTGTCGTGACCCTCTAACACTGAATCAGCTGGTAGGTGGAGCTTCTTCTCAGCAGAGCATCCCTAATATGGCAACTAGCCTGCTGTTAGCATTAGCATGCGCTTGACCTCAAGGCCAGAAGGTTGAGGGAAGACCCTCAGCCAACACTTCCTTTCCTGAGTCCTCACATGTCTGCATACAGTCAGCTGCATTTCCACATAAAACAGGAAACAAAACAGAAAAACAGGTAACTTGATGCACATTCACTCATGTGAACTCACACATTTAGTCAGCCACAAATTCAGGAACACATGCACACATAGGCAATCCCACCCAGGTAGAGTTACCTTTAACATAAACATCTACACCCAAAGAAAACAACACTTCCTCTCAGGGACACATTCCTGTATCCTGAGCTGTGCCACTGATAAGCGTCCTGTGTGAAGCAGATCATGGGCTGAGTTTGGGCTAATTCAGCACCTGGGAAACCGTCCGCTCTGGTCCTCCACCCCTGTCTAACTCCTTCTTTGGGAACAATCCCAGCCTTGTGCAACTCCCAACAACGTCAGTGACACTCTACACTGCACCATTGCCACTAATTGTTAGCTCACAATGCTTCCTGGTATTGTATTCAACAATGCCTACTCTGAATAGAGAGTCTAACCTACTTGTATTGTTGCTAATTAGTTTCTTGAGAGGAGTAGAAAATGGGGAGAGAAAGGCAGCAAGAAGATGTTGGTAATGGACTGCAGTTTCATTGGAGTTGCCAGTAAATAGAGTTGACAAAAGGCTTTGTGGGGTCGAGGGGCGAGGGTCGGAGGTGAAAAAGAAGAGGCGCACCTGCGCTCTCCACGGGTCGACAATGAGCTTATTCAGCTGTTCTGCCCAGCAGGACGATGGAGGGCAGAGGTATTGGCTGAGCACCGAACAGACTACTAAACAAACACAGGGTTAAAAGACAGAAAGAGTGATAAGAGGAGTGAAAAGACTGTCCTCTTACCTCGTAAAGTAAGGTAACTATGAATAAATGGGCTTAATTTCAAAACAATATCCTGATGCCTTTTTAAAGACAATGGAACAGAGAAGAGGCAGGTAGATGACAAGCAAAGTAAGTTGAAAAAGAGCACAAACTATAACTAACGTCATGCAGGTGTATGTCTGCCAGTCAATCAAGTTGCAGTTTACATCTAGTCTGTCGAGGCTCCTATAAAACATCCTTCACACACAAGTTCAGAAGGGCAGGTCTCTGCAGTCACGACAAAGTCAAGGGGAGCATGAAAGGTAACTGAAACAGTTCATTCTAAGTTTTTTGAGTTACATTATTGAATGATGATCACATCATGATGTTATTATGAAACTGACCCTTGACCTTTTTGACAGAAAAAAATATCACCATTTCATTCTTCATGTTTGTTGAAATTTATGATAAATTTTGTGAATTTACTCATGAATTCTTGAGCAAATGCTAAAAATGTGAGTAAAGTGGTCACATACTTCACCCTTTAACCTTTTACGATCAAATTCAGATTCAGAGCAGTTCATCCTGGACGATTGTGTTATTGAAAATGAGATCGAAGAAAATCTGCAAATGTAATGCTTATAGAAACTACAAAGAAAAAGCACAGAGGACAAAAACTGAGGAACTCAAAGAAGAATGACAAAGTCAAAATGAGGGGAAAGAATTAAAAAAAGGAAAAAAGACACAAAGAAGAAAAGGGCGGGATATGAAGTCAGCGGTGTTGAGTGTTTTTAAAAAAACCTGTTTCTTTACAGCAGGGCGATGTCGTCCGCGAAGTCCAAGTCGGTGAGATTATGCGCTTTATGTCAGGGGACACCGATGCCATCTTGGTCAATTGATTGTCGCATGATGAAGTCAATTACCAACAGGAAAAGGAAAGGGGATAGCACGCATCCCTGTTGGACACCAGTATTGAGCTCGAAGAAATCCGTGCAGCCGCCATCCATACGGACGCAGCAGCGGGAGTTGGAGTAGAGACCACAAAAGACGTCTACAAAGTGCAGGGGGACTCCATAGTGACGTAGGATAGCCCACAGAGTTGGCCGGTGGACGCTGTCAAAAGCCTTCTTGAAGTCAATGAAATTAATAGAAATTTTCCTTTGGTATTCCAATGTTTGTTCAACGATCATGCGGAGGGTGAGGATTTGCTCAACGCATGACCGGCCACTCCAAAAGCCAACCTGCTCTTCTCGCAATCATTCGTCCACTGCGTGTCGTAGCTGATTCAAAAGAACGAGGCTAAGCACTTTTCCAGGTACCGACAGCAGCGTAATGCCCTGCCAGTTGTTACAGTCTCACAAATCGCCTGTCTTTGGAAGTTTGATAATGATGCCTTTTGTCCAATCATCGGGTACACGCGATGTTAAACAACGTGTTTAGGAGTCTTGTAAGGGCGGCTTCCAACTGGGCTTCAGCATTTCAGGGAGGGTCTCATCCAGGCCAGCTGCCTTTCCACTCCTGAGGAGTCGGATCGCTGTTTTTACTTCGGCAATGCTGATTTGTCTGATATCGACAGGGAGAAGGTCAATGGAGGGTGCCAGGTCTTCGGCCTCGAACAGGTTGGTTGGTTCAGAGTATTCGGCCCAGCGTTGGTCTTGCTCAGCTGTAGTAAGGAGGACTCATCCATTTTTGTCTTGAATTGGGACGCCGCGGCCACCATGAGCCCCTGTTAGATCTCGTACAATGCGATATAAGGTTTGGGTATTGTTCCAATCGGCTGCTTCTTGGTCTTCCATGCCTTTAGTTTTCATCCACTTGTCATGCCGGCAGCTGCGTTTGACCTGTGCCAGCCATGGCCCTCTCACACTGCAGGAGTATGCGGATTGGAGGCCACCTGGTCCTGAAGCGACTTTGCCAAAAGACCCCGATCGATAAGGTCCCACCTTGTTGGCGACCAATCTTCGATTCTGCGGCACCGACAACAGCCTCCTTTAGCTCATCCCAGAGGGTAGCTGAATTTTTGTTGTTTCCTTCCTTTCCTTCCTTGGTGAGGAGCTGGAAGTGGTTTCTCAATTCGAGTTGAAATTCCGCTGCCATATTTGCTCTTCTGTTGGAGTATATACTTGAAGAACTGTGACTTTCACATGCCCAGCTTGGAAACGAGCCAAGATTAGGTGGTCTGAGATGGTCTTCCAGCCCAGCAACAACGTTGTTGCACATCACTAGAGAACAAAGCCCACAAAGCGCACATGGTCTCGGGGGATGGCCAGGGTAGAGCACCGTCTTTCCATTGCTTACCATCTTCTCATTTCATGTCCACCGCATTTCAGAGATGCCCAAGATGTCCATCTGGTTTGAGTCAAATTTATGTAGAAGCTGGCCCACTTTACCCATTTGGTACAGAGTCCGTACATTCCATATTCCATAATGAGTAGTTTCTTTTGGATCGAGAATTGATCGACACATTAGGCAATGGACGACCCGAGAGCTTTTCTCCACCACTGTCATCAAGGGTTGCCGATCATCTTCGCCCTGGTTCAGTTGATACTGAGATTCGTTTGCTGATTCTGTAGCAGTTGGGGTTTTACAGGGTCGGGTTGCTAGCCCCACGCCCAACCCTCTTCCTTTCTCATCCAGGCTTGGGACTGGCAACTGCGGAGTTACAGAAGGACACAACAAAAAATATTAATTCAACAAATGTAAGATTCAGTGCACTTATTCTTATTATTATTGCTTTATTAATAAAACAATTTTAAATTAAAAACTGATTTAATTGACATTGCGTTATGTATTTTGTACAAAAATTGCAATTTGTTTTTCATTGTAAACCAAGGCTACGTCCACACGTACCCGGGTATTTTTGAAAACGCAGATTTCTCTATGCGTTTGCACCTTTCATCCACATGTAAACTGCGTTTTCAGTCACTGAAAATGGAGATTTCTAAAAACGCCTGCCAGGGTGGATATTTTCGAAAACTCAATTTTTGCATTTACGTGTGGACAAGAAAAACGGAGAAAACGGAGAAAACGAAGCGTCAAAGATGTGCGCCTTTTTTGAAGTCACACTGCGCCACGTTATTGTTTCGGTGAAATGAATTTCTACAATACTGTTACTGTTAATTGTACTCTCTGCAGTGTTTAAATGCTTACATATACACACACAGTTACTGTCCCTCCACACATACGACTCGGTTCTGCTTTTATGCCCCATCTTTGTTTACTATTTCCCACCGAGGCTTCTAGACTTCTGATTGGCCAACATTTCTACACGGTTAGGAATATATCGCCACCTATTGCTTTGGCATGTTCCTAGCAGCATTTTCCTTCATTTCTGCGTTTACGTGCGGACGGGATTATTTTTTAAAACGAAAACGGAAAATCTCCGTTTTCAAAAATACCCGTGTACGTGTGGACGTAGCCCAATTTTTTCTTTTATTTTCCTCCTTCGATAAACCTCACACAGCTAACTTGTAATTAAAATGTGTATAAGTAGCTGTAAGTAATTTTTCCTTTATGTATCAACCCAAGTACTAATCACTCTGCAGCTTGAGCACTGACCCATCAGCAGTGTATGCTCAGACCCTGTGCACCAGCAAAGACTCTTCTTCTTTAAGCTCAGGAAATATATATATATCACCTTTCAAGTCATGTGATTTCTATCCACGTCAAGTCATGTGTCCTAAAAGCCTTTTGTTTTTTTATTCTGAAGTCATCTTACTTCTGGCAGATTTACAGTGTTTTTGCTAGTGGCACAAAAGTAAGCTGATAAACCTCGCCACACCCCTGCAGAGTTCTGCACCATCCAGATAGTCCCTTATAAGGACACAGAGCTTTAAAGCCAATGTTTCACTGCATTTAAGAAGGTGCCTTTGTTGCAAGGAAGTATTAGTGAGCTTATTTGGTGTTTTTACTTAAAGTTAGAAACTCAGCAGACTAAAAACAGAGCAATAGGTATCGTGTAGCCATTCCGTGTTGGCTCTTGTTAATGTCTTTTCTTTTCCACCAGATGACTCTGCCTCCTATTTTCTCAGTTGTTTGCTTAGTCCATTTTTGGTATCTTTTATTATCCCATGGCCTACTTTTTCATACATATCTCACTCCAAGGAATCTACACTAGCTTATATAAATAATATAACTCTTAACTACCTTTTATCCTTCAAATTCAAACACACAGAAACACACACACACACACACACACACACACACACACACACACACACACACACACA